CTAACCTAGAGCCAAGTGCATAAAATTTATCATGAAAGTAAAAATATCAATTCAGTTTAAAAGTTAAATTGTTTCTGAATTGAGCTATTTACTGTTATCACCAACATTCTTAATCAAAAACAAACCTCTTTAATCAGTGGAGACTCTAAATTAAGAAATCAACAAATAGTTTTCCAGTTTTGTTGTCTATACATTTGATTTTTATACTTTCAGTACATAGACTTACAACAATATTAGGTTATACTTTTGTTGCTAAGCATCATGACATAAAAGCCATTGTTGAAATGTAGTGTTACCAAAACACACTGGCTTTTCTATATATTAGAAGTTGTTAATCTAACTGATTTGTACCAATAATAATTCTGTGAATACACCACAAATTCATTTTATGAATAATTTTAATTTTGATTGGCTCCCAAAGGAATTTACTGATGTTTGACTGCCTCAACTGCACATTTTGTTGGTCAAGTTTGATTTCCCAAAATTTATTTACTTCAGTTAGCAATGAAATGTGAGGCTAGGGTATACTATGGGGTGGGGTGGTAATACATGCCCCATCATTTTGATACAAGTGAACAGTATAAACACTAGTCAGCAATTTTAGGATTAAGGCTTATGTATTAATAGATTTAGCAATTTTCCAGGGGAAAATATTCAGTGAATCATTTAGATAGCTTTTGCGTAAAGCATATCTATATTTTTCAAAGTTATATATTTACGAATTATTGGGTACTTTTTATTGACAATACACGTATAATCATCGTCACTCTGCAAAAATGAAACAACTGATATACGACTGAGTCTTTTTATGTCATCATGGCCAAATTTTTTCTTTGAGTGTGGCAATTTCTTTTGTTAACTTTATTTGGATTTTTATAGGAATCTACAATATCTCTACTTGTATGATCTGCCTGAAGTTCGTGACAGAGAAAAGTGTATTCACACCTTAACTCAGTCATTACCAAAGTGTTTGGTGGACTTTCCTCCTGTAAAAAAAGATTAACTGAGTTTAGAGTTAAATATCTGTATTTTACAAACTTAGAGCTGATTTGTGTATTTCTCAAAAACTGTAAAATTGTTGTCAAAATTACCAATAAAGCTGTAAAACGTTTACTCTTGTATCTGGAATGTTACATCCCACAGTTCTGTTGTTCTATACAGCACTCTCTAAATTTTTTTTAATTCATTTTATTCTTTTGGTTGTCCTCTACAATGCACATTCTATTCAATGATCAAGCAAAAAAAATAGCATCTGTGTTTAACAGATGGCATGTTTTTTATTAAAAGTTATGTTACTTGTAATGTGTAAAAGTTGATTTTTCTTAACTTGTTTGAGACAGATATATTTAAAATGCTTCTGTGATAAACTATATAGACTGCTTTGACCAATTATGTAGAATGGTAACTATTTTTGTAGCCTCTTTTTTTATAATAATATACTGCAGCAAAAGGATATTAAAAGATATTTTGGGAATGATTAGTGTGCTGGTTTGCAGGTCGGAAGATCCAAGGTTCGAGTCATGATAAGCCACTGACCACACTTTCAGTTGTGGAGATTATATAATTGCAACAGTGGATGGTGCAATTTGTTTATTGGAAATGGCTGTGTAATAGATGGTGGCTCTCTGCTCAACTGTTCTGAATTAGGAATGGCTCTACCAGATCATAGGCTAATCTGGACATTTGCCACATGTATGGCCTAGACACTGTGTAGGTTAAAATTATAATATTTTAATAAGTATTAGAAAAAAGTTACATTTATAATTAGAGACTCCATGGTTTTGATAGCAGATAACAGATCAATTCATTTTTCAGAAAACATAATGATAAAAAAAAACACACTAACATAATTACATTGAAGCATTTGTTTTATGTTTCAGAATCTTCAGAATTCCATCTTCTGTAAGCTACAGGTACAAAAACTAAATGGTAATTACACCAGAAATGATAGAATCTGTAATAAAAACTAAGTACACAATTTGAAGTTGAATAAAATAAAAAGTATATAGTGCAAATGAAATAGTTCATATTAAAATAGATGTATATCAAATGAGAAATGTGTATCAGCTAGAGATGGAAGAAGAGTTTCTATTAGAAGTTTAGTATCATGTTTAGCTGTTTAGAGTATTTTATAGTTGGAGAGATAAATTGGATTCCTTTTTTTTTTGTATTGTGTTGGTAGATGGCAGAGTTGGGAAGGTTTGTTGCTTTCCTTAAGTTTTTATAGATATACCAATGTATTCAAATGCTCATACTTTAAGGTGACAATATAATAGGCGTCCATGTGTATAAATAAAAGAGTCATGAACAATGAGCATTTGACACACGATCTTTGTAGTGAAAACAATTTTTAAGTCTGTTATTAGGTTTAAAAATAACTTTGGGGTCAATCTGAGAAGAGTGAGAGTTAGATATTTTTTTAAACTGTTTCATGATAAGGGAGATCTGTAAACAGGTGTATAAAAGTAGTTATGGTACAGTATGTATCTTAGGTGGTTTGGCAAACACATTAGTTAAGTTCTAGTGGTGAAATTGAATGTCACCTTAATGTATGAGCATTTGAACATATGGGTATATCTATAAAAACAGGAAGAAAAGTTACAAGCCTTCCCAACTCTGCCATTTACCAACACAATACAAAGACAAACTTTAAAATCCTCTCAACAGCTAAGCATGATACCAAGCTTCTGCCCATTGTGTAGCTTTGTGCTTAATTACAAACAAACAAACTGATAAAAGATATATTATACATAAAGCTTTTTTTCCGTCTCTAAAAAATACACATTTTTAATTTGGTTGAAAGTATTTTAATATCAGTTATTTCATTTGCTTTACATACGTTTCATTTTCTCCTGTTTCAAGTTTTTTATTACATATTATATTTCTAGTTTAATTACCAGTTTGTTTGGTATTTCTAGCTTACTGAAGATGGAATTCTGAAGATTCCAAAACATTAATGCTTCATATAATTATGTTCATGTTTCTCCCTATTATTAGATGTCAGTAGTTTGTCCACAAGTTAAAAATCCATACACTATTTCACAATAATAACTTTTTGTTAAAATCGTTAAATACGGATTCTTTGTATTGCTTAGTGGTTAATTACATTACCTATTTAATGCAAGAGTGCATGATTTATTATAACAATTTAATAAAACATTAAATACATAAAATTATCAAACTTAAGTCATCTCTACAGGTTTCAACTGGGCCACTCAATCATCCTCAGGAAATCAGTAAACTTGAAACTACTTCCTTATGTTCCACTCGCATGTGAAGAGAGATGGTACTTGACCACGTTATTAGTTTAGGGTTGGTACGTTTTTTCTGCTGTAAAAAAAGCTCAGATAATCATTATTATTACTGCTGTTTCTAATAGACCAGATGCGCACAAGTACAAGAACCAGTAAAAGGTAGTTAGAACACCCAAGAAGAAGTTAGGACCAGGTTTTCTGAGGTCCAGGTGTAGAGACTTATAAATAGGCTTCTTAAATCTTAGTTTAGTTCTATAAGAAATATGAAAGGGGCAATATATTAAAAAAATATGTATAAAAAATAATAAAAAACAATTCTATAATACATTAAAAATATGAATATTGAAAATTGTTGAAATCTTGGACCAGTGCACCCCTCTACCATACTTTAGTGTCGGTACTGTTACTGTAAGATAGTAGCACCAGTATGTTTGTTGAATTTTGTGCAAACCTACTCAAGAGCTATTTGTGCTAGCCATCCATAATTTTGAAGTAATAGTCTAGAGGGATGTAGCTATTTAACACTGCCAACTTTTGGATTACCCTGTAATGACAACTAATAAGATTGGTTGTCACATTTTGATGCCACCCCCTTGGCTGAAAAAGATGAGCATATTCGGTGATGGGATTCAAACCTATGACCCGCAAATTGCAAGTCGAGTACCCTAACCACCAAATCTTAGTAAGACAAGTATTATATATATATATATATATCTTGGAAGTTATTTTGGTTTAATATCTCACAAGCCCCGAAGGGACTTGTGCAACAACCAGGGGCACTCAGAAACTGGGGGTTTCTCTTCAGCCCCACACGGGTAGATAGAGTGTTAAGGAGAGGATTGGATTTACTGATAGAGGTGTTTCGTAAAGCTGTGTTGCTTCTGATTTTGGATAATTAATTAGAAGGGGATTCTTATCTCAGCGGGTGTTTCTGTAATATAGTACTTGGAAAAGCTGTCAAGAGAGTCGAAGGAAGAGGAACTTTCATGCTCGTTGGAGCACGTGGAACGCACGTGTGTTTGTTGATGCACGTGGTCATGCCACTGTACGGAGAGAGAGTGAACTGTTGAGTGATTTTGAGACGGAGACACTAGAAGGGAGATGCAGAGTGACGTGCGACCTGCTAATATGGAATTGATACATACCTGTCAGACACCTTAAGATTAATGAATTGTAGAAGTTTTTGATTCTGATTTCGATAGAACGGCTCTTCTCAGGGTGGCTGGATGGTTTATCCTAAGCCTTTAAACTTTTGATGGGGGGGGGGGGGCGAGTACCCGGAGAAAATCCACTTTCACGGTCAAGAGCCAAATAGTTTACTTGACCAGTGCCCATCCTGGTTGGCTGAAAAGAATTGTTAGGTTAGTCATGAACATGATATACTGTGGGTCGTGGTTTATCTTTGGTTATATGTTTGAGATTTCTGGGTGATGTGTGTTTTTGCCACGAAATGGGTGTTGTCGAAAGATGATGGAACTTTTTGGTGAGTTCATTACGCGTCATGGCTATTTTAAAGTATTTTGAGGCAAGTTTATAAAATCGCTGTTTGATAGGGGTGACGTCGGTTATTTTATCTATGTATTCTCGTGGTGTATAATTGGGTAGGAGGTGAGCAATTTTGATTACTTTGTTTTGTTGCATTTGTACTCTGTTGTGTGTGTTGTCTGAGATGTTACATGTGATAGCGCATGCGTATTCGTAAAGTGAGCGGATGTATGATTTATAGCTGGTTACGATAGAGTGACTGTTGCATACTTTATTGATACCTCCAATACGGTGAAGGTAAGATATTCTTTTGCTGGCTGCTAATAAAGTGTTATTAATATGGAGTATCCATCGAAGTCTCGTGTCAAGTGTTATGCCGAGGAACTTAGCTGAAGAGGAGAGCGGAATAGGGGTGTTGTATAGATATAGATTAACCTGTTGTAGCTCTTTTAAATGTTTGTCGATTTGTCTGTGGGTATGGCTTGGGCTGAGGGTAACCCTCCATTGGTGGCACCATGCTATAATTATTTCCAGGGTATTCTGTAGTGGGAAGCAGTCAGTCTTGGATCACGGGAAGTGCTCCAGACTGCGATATCGTCGGCGAACTGTGATGTAAGTGTGTATGGAAGGTCGGGGAATGGAATGTCATTAACAAAGATTATATACAGATTATGATTATGACTTAGAACAGAGCCTTGCGGGACTCCAGCATTTAGCGGAAAGGAGTGCGAGATAGTGTTATTAATTTTTACCGTCGATGTTCGATTAGAGAGGAAACTGGATATCCATCTAGTGATGAGTGTTGGTTGAACATAGTTTGAATCTGATGGCGTTATGCCAGACGGTATCAAAAGCTTGTTTTACGTCTAGAAACGCGGCTATTGTGGTGTGTTTTTTGTTGAAGCCTTGGTATGCTGATTCAACCAGGCCGACTAAATGATCAGTGGTTTGTCTCTGTTTGCGACTAGCGTTCTGAGTGTTATTTAATATGTTGTTTGACTTATAGAAATGTAGCAGTCTGGTGGATATTATTTTTTCCATTAGCTTACCGAGGTATTAGTGAGACTGATGGGTCTATAGTTATGGGGTAGGTGAAGGTCGGATGGATTCTTGGGTATTACTTTAATTGTTACTGACTTCCAGATTAATGGATAATATCCTGAAGTGAAAGAAAGGTTATATAGAGATAGAAGGTGTTGTAGTACCGGATCGGAGAGGTTTTTTATGATCCTATTGCTGGTGCCATCTTGGCCAGTGGCTGTAAGTTTAAGTTGTGTAATACTAATTTTCAGTTCAAGAAGTTAAATAAGGCGAGTGTGATAATTGGTGACCTGGCTGGGAATCTGTGTGTAACATGGGAGCTGTAGATTCATA